CTCTTGATGGCCAGCTTCAGGTCCATGACCTTGGCAGACTGTGTCACCACAATAGCTGAGGACACAAAGACAAACAATAGATAAACACAGAGAGTCAAACAAACAAATATCTTTGCAAATTATACTGTTGCACAAACCCACATTCACACACATGTACACAACATATGTGAAGCATCATGGTGAAATCAGGAGCTTGTCAAACGAAATCGAAGAAACAGGCATTTTTTTTCCCATTTTGACAATTTTCATCATTTTTTTTTTTGGCTCATCACCTTTTGTGTCTATATAAAACACATTTCAAGATGAATTTTTTCAGAAAAATGTTGAGTAAAGGCATAACATATGTTTTTTCAGTTTTCAAGGACACTCAGCTATTGAAGCTTCCAAACTTTGGCGGCCATCTTATCGCTAATTTTACCACTGAAAGCAGGCAACTTCATCTGCTTCAATAGCAAATATCTTGACTTCTATTTCAAGATAGATGGGGGGGGGTTTCATTGATAGCAAGGCAAATGAAAAAGCTTTCAGATGATCAGATACCGATCACTCCACATGCCCAAAACAAAGATATAAAAAGTTTCCTACCAATTTTGATAAGACTGCTGTCGAAATGAACATTAACCGCTTCGTTGCCTTATAAATGACATACCTGGCACATCATGAAAATGCGGAATTTTTAGCGCTGTTGCATACCATGTACGTCATTGACCTCCTGGTTGCCAATATGACGTTACACATATACATCATGCTAATAACCTGGCTGTAATTCTTACGTGCAGAATTTTAGCCACAAGCACTGCGTAGATTTTTTTTTTAGAATAAAAGACGCACATATCGGTACCGATTTGCTAGTACTACTTTACTGCTAGGCTTGCAAGTGATCGATAAACACAGATCTAGGTTTGCAGGTGGCGGCGTGCTCTAGTAAAACGTAAACATCGAAGTGACTTTAAAGAGGCAAGTAAATCCACTTTTGACTTAGACTAACAGGTTATTCGAAATTATGAGTAAGATGGGAGGAGCTGGGAAATAAGAAAAGTGAAAAAAGTGACAATCGAAGATCAGGCACCCGAAAAAATGTCATGAGTGAGCTAGATCTAGACCACGCGTCCATTAATCACGAGACATTAGGCTGCTGTCCTGGGTACGGAGTCAGCTGAAAATCAGTGCTGGCAACGAAAAGGTTAATGACATGTATTAGAGATTGAAGGAAGCGAGGTCGCCTGGTTTCAGTGGTGAAATTAGCGAGAAAATGGCCGCCAAAATTTGGTAATTCCAACAGTTAAAGAGTCCATGAAAACAGAAAAAAAAAACATATTTGTGCCTTTAATTAAAATCAGTTTTTCAGTAAAATTAACATGGAAATGTGTGTTTATGTGGACATAAAAGAGGATGAGACAAAAAATGAAAATTCAATAAAAACTGTCCAAAAAGGTGGAAAAAAGGTTATTTCTTTTATTTCTGTATTTTGACGAGCACCTGACTTCCCCACGCTGCCTCACATATATCTACACGTGTTCTTACCATTCCTGTAAAGCAAAAGAAAATTTCTCACAAGGACAATGAAGTACCTCATAATCACACAAGACAATTTCAAGTCTGCACCAATTCACCCAGAAGATAGGCTGTTTACTATCATGACGAAAACAAAGCAATACATTTTATTTACATAACGGCTATAAAATATAAATTTCACTATAAGAAAGCAGGCTCTATGCACTTTTATGATGTATTATTACCCTGCCTCGACAGACCCTGTAACATATCGAATTATTCTCAGTTTCCACGAAAGC